TGACAGATAGAGGAGGGACAGGCAGTGGGGGAGACCAGGAAAGGAAGGGAGAATGGAGAAGAGCCAGGGGAGGGAAGGGAGTCGAGGTGGAAACCAGCAAGTGGGGGAAGGGAGAGGGGGAGACACGAGGAAGGGCAGAGACCAAAGGGAAAGTCCTTGTCAGCCACAGCCCCAGCCCAGCCAGTGGGACCCCAGGGGGGAGGGTCCAGGGCACACAGGGGCGGGGAAGGGAGCCAGCGCCCCCCTCACCATGCTCATGCCCTGGCCTTCCCATCCCCCTCTCCCCTGCTCTCCTCTCCTCTCCTCTCCTGCTCCCATCCCCATCTGCTCCCTCTGCTTCCCCGAGCGCCCACACCCAGCGTCCAGCCCCTGCCCCGGAGGCCCTGGAAGCGGCCGAGAGAGGCGCAGAGGCCGAGACAGAGGAGGCCGCAGGCTGCGTCAGGGTTGGTGCGAGTGTGTGTCAGGGCAGAGGGCGGACTGGGCAGTGCATGAGGAGGATGCGTGAGGAGGATGCGTGAGGGTGGGAGAAGCCGCCAGGACCTCACTCTGCCCTCCCAGCCACGGCCAGGCCCGCAGCCCTCTGGCCAGGCTCCCCGCTCTCCTCCCGAGGCCCAGCCACTGCCCCGCCCGGATCGGGCCCTGGAGCGCAGAGGCCTCCCCGCCAGGACGTGCAAGCACAGAGATGGAAAACGTTAAAGGGACCTTTCTTCGCTCGCTGACAGCCAGAAAAGCAAACCGCTCCAGCTCCAAGTCACTCCTCACTCAGCGGCTACCCCTCCGAGCTCCCACCGGGGTGGGCTTCTGCTGTTCCTTTGCTTTTAATGGATCTGGGGGTCGGTTTAACCCTCTGAGTTTGTTGCTTTGGTTTGGTTTTTAGAAAAGATATTTATTATGTTTAAGTTTAGATTTAACTTCGGTTTTGGTTTTGCTTATTTTGGGGAGGGAGGGGGGCAGAGGAACTCGACGCTGCCCCCGGCTCCCGGGACCATGGGCTGCTGGCGCTGGGGGGTTTAAGACCTGGCTTAGCCCTTGTTAGCCTCTGGTTAGTGCCTCGTTAGAGATCTGGTTTAGAGTTAGTGCTTACGCCCTGCCCCCAAACCTGGGCTGAGGACAGTCCAACTTGTGAAACCCGTTCTCTCTGAGGAAACACGCGTGCCCGGGGACACCCCCCCCCCGCCCCCCGTGTGGCCTCTGGCTGAAGACCGGCCGGGGCTGTATCTGCTCGGCCCCCCTGTTCGGCCCCTCCTCCTGCAGCACCTCCCACTGCCCAGCACCTCACTCAGCCTGGGGCAGCACCTCCATCTTACAAGTGGGGGGGCCGGAGCCCCAAGAAGCTGAGCGCTAGTGATGGCAACTGGAACACCAGACCCAGGAGGGTCCCCGTGTCCAGGGCTTCCTCCCAGGCACAAGAATCACGAGAAAAACGGGGAGGGGAGGGTCCACAGCCGTCAGACACGCTTGGGAAGTTTATTTCCCAGATAAGCAGCGGTTTCTCTCTCATGGGGCTTCGCAGAGCCTTCAGGGGACCCACGTTCCTGTTCACCTCCAAGCGGGAGAGCGGGACCGCGTTTCCCAGGCTCGGCTCGAAAGTCTTCTCTAGGGAGGCATCCCCTGGGGCCCCTGCTTCCCGGGACACATTTTGAAACTGGAAAACTGATTCATTCAGTAAATATTTATTGAGCACCGACCACGTGCCAGGTGCTGACAGCATAATCCCTCCAAGGATGCCAAGCCTTCCCCTCCAATACCTGCTGCGCCTACTGCATCTCACCCTCCGGCACCTGTGAGGGCGGCCAGGGGGCTGGGGGGGGGGAGGGTGGCCCGGAGCTGAGGCTCGGGAGGGCAAGTCTTGACCCTCTCCCCCAAGGCCACACCAAGGGTGAGCTCCTTCCACAGCTGGGGAAACACTAGATTGAGCCAGTCCTTCACTTGCTAGGAGAGGAGGCAGAGGCCTAAAGAGAAGGTGTGACCACGCAGCTGGGGAAGGAGGGGTGGGCTCCCATCACCGGCTCTTCCCCACCTGGACCAGGAGTCCCCTCCCCCGACCCGGCCCGTCCTGCTCGCCCGACCCCTTGGGGTCACAAGTTGTCCCAGCCTCAGCCCAAGCTGCTCCCTTAGCCTCTAATTCCGGGAGAGGGAGGTGGTAATGGAGAGGAAGCTACTAGGTTCGCAAACGTGGCCCCTCGGCCCCACCTGCCATGAACTCCTCAAAGGGTTAAAGCTCGCCCCGCTGGAGGGTCAGTGCGGCTGGGGCCGCAGGTTTTAGCGATGCCTCTGACAGTCCCTTTAACTTTTTGTCCTGCTTCGGATTTATCGCGTCTGGTTATCAGCATGTTTAGTCCCCGCGGGCTGCGTGGGGGCTGGAAGTGACATTTGGGGTTTTAGTTGGGGAAGGCCCCAGTGACATTTAAAAGCACAGTTATCAGCTGGTTAGATGGAGGTTTAACAGGGATGCTCCCCCCTAGAGTTTAGCCTTAGAGGTACAGAGCTCGCCCCCCTCCAAAGGGAATGGGATGGCTTGGCCCGTGGCCCCAACTTCCCTCGGTGACAAGCGGCCTCCACCCGCAGCCCCTGGCGCGGAAGCCCGTGGGACGGCTCCCCCTGCCCCTCTGCCCTCCTCTCCCCCCAACTCCACTAGCTCTGAGGGCCCTTCTGGACCACGGCGGGTCCACTGCAGAGAGGGGCCCACTGTCACTTTCTTGGGGGGCCTTTCCAGTAGGACCTGAGGCCCCCACTTTCCTTTCCTCCTCAGATGACCCTGGGGCAGTCTTCCTACCCTCCTTTGGGTCCTAGGATCAGCCCTTCCCGCTCCCCAAAGCCTTCCTGCTCCTCACTCACGGCAGCCCTCAGCTGGCCCTCGGACAGCCTGCACTGACCTCCCTCCCCTGCACCCCAGCCTGCGTTCCCAGGGGGTCAGCGTCACAGGTCACCGAGTCCCCGCCCAGGCCTGGATGGACAAGCGCTCTTGGAGGAGAACCCCGGCCCCTGCCCGAACCAGCACTCCCCGGACCGACCCTTGACTGCAGAGAGAAGGGGGCACCCACCCGGCGGGACAAGTGTCCCTTCACGCGGGGTGGGCGAGGGGGAAGGCTCGGATGGGGGAAGAGAGAGCTCTGCACCTTTAAGATAGTGTTTTTAAAGTTAATTAATTAATTAATTAATTAATTCTGGTTAATTACCTTTGTCGAGCAGCCACTCATCTACTACTCGACCAAGCCGGTAGGGGATTCTCTGTCTAGCAATCGCCAGGCGCTCGTTATCAAAGTTTCCTTGGAAAAGTTTAGAAAGACAGTAGGTTTCTCAGGCGGCGAAGTCCAAAGGCGTTAGAAAAGTAATCACGCATTTCTCAAGAGACTCGGCGAAGCGGCCACCTCCCCCGGGAAGGGGGAGGAGACATGGGCCCCTGGTCCTCCCGCCCCTCCCCAGGCTCCCATCCAGAGCCAGCCCACCCTGCGGGCAGGAGCCACCCAAAGAAACAGGAGGACAGAGAAGAAAAGGAAAGGGGATGAAAGAAAAGGCAGCTGGAGGTCAAAGGTCAGAGGTGAAACAGGTTTATCTGCGCTCAAGCGGTGGTGGCCCCCTTCCTTCCCGATCCCAGAGCGGGGCAGCGGGTGGGAGGGGCATTTAGCAGGTTTAAGTCAGGGGGCGGGAGGCCTCAGTGGCCCGGCTGGTTACTGCATTTAGAGGGCGTTTAGACGGGGGAGGGCAGGTTAAGCAGGGGTTTATGCGGCATTTAGGGGGATGGCCCGACACACTCATTGAACAGTGAGATTTAAGAAACACTTCTCCACGCCAGCCTCAGCTCCCTTTCCCCTCCTGCTCCATCCCAGCCTTCCCTTCATCTCCCCCTCCCC